CTTGTTTGCCAATAAATAGGTATTTTAGTTTCTGTTGTATTATGTGTTTATCCCAGCAACATGAAATGTAATCAATAAATAAACCAGAGGGAAAAATTACAGTTCTTTAAATTAAGCCAGAAAGGTTTTACTGATTGCTTATGCACTGTGCGCTGCGTCACAGGAAACAGGCAGCTACTTACAGATCATGACTACTCTGAACATGTAGCTATTAAAACTGATTTTATTTCCTCTCTGCATTTTACTACCCAAGTGCATTTTAGAGGGACTGACAATCAATTCATGCATCTTACCCCAGAAGATCTTTAGAAACTAACTGCATGCTTCCCATAAAATGTCTTGACTATTTCACCATGTCTTTTATAGTTGCAGTGATTTTAAGACAATAAGTCTGCATTTCTCCAAATACAATCTGAACTCCTGATAATTTGAGGAATCTCCCACACTGTTTCTGTGTTCACTACTCGTGCCAGATGCTCACTGTACAGAAACTTGCTAGCATTAGACTGTGCTGATTCCAGACAGAGTAAAACAAAGCAATAGCATTGTAGAACTGTGTTACTGCCTGTTTTTGCTACTCCCAATAAAAAACACTAGCTGGCACTGTCTGGTTCTACTAATGCAGGGTACAGACAGCTGCCCAACCCCCCTTTCCTTTTTCTTCCTGCCATTATGCTACACCTATCTGTATATCATCAAGTGCTTTGGACTTTTAATAAGATTTGTACCAGACTATGTTTCTTGGCTTGAATGGTTAGCTTCCTTTCCAGAATATACACGCTGCTTTACACATACTTCTATTACTGACATCATGAGAACACATCTCTTCTATGTTTAAATTTGGGTGTTAACCTGATTGTTTCTTCCATACACAGATGATGTGAAACTCTAAGAAAGCAAATTTTGAAGTTGTTACTTGCTTGAACCATTTTTTCTTGCCCTTTCACAGGGAAAGTGATAATCATCCAGAACAGCAGTCAGTCTGAAGCCAGAACAGTTTTCCAGAGATCTGAGTTTCCATATATTTGTATCATGTCCCTAATGCAATCATTTTGACTTTGCATTTTATTACATCACTGCAATACTACTAGGCACAAAAAGAACCTCCCAACCTTGTTCAAGTATCAAATGGCCATACTAATAAGTCTTTAGAAATAACTATTAACAGTTGTGGATTCTTGCTGAGATCTGTCTCATTAGGACTAAATAACAGATGCGTTCAAATGTCAAACAAGCAACGCAGGGGGTAGTCCCTATTAATCAGAACACATTTAAAAAAAACTATTGCTCCCTATAAACTTCTCGCCCTATGAAAGTTTATTTTAAAAAAATGGTAGGAAATAGGCAGCATCTTGCATAAATCCACATCTACTGAATGAATCCAGATGAGGACTCAGGCATTCAAACACAAGATCCTGGTGTTCTAAACGAGCCATACAGAAAGGTTTATTTAGTTTATTTCTACTCAGCACTCTCAACACAGACTATTTCTAAGAACTCCACTATATTTGCTAAACTGAACTAGGATCTAGTTCCTGGAACAGAACCTTTATACATCACACCACCATCTGAAGAGTTCTACCTGTGTATTGCTCAGACCACATGATTCATGGCATCAAAGCTGGTTCAGCCAGTGGAAGACCTAACTCCCACTTTCTTATAAAAGACAATCTGCAATCAGAATTCATTAAAAGGAGGAGATACTCTTACACTGCTGCACATGTACTCCATGAATAAGGTAATTAGCCATTCATAGGTAAATAAAGTTATTTCCAACATTATTTGAAAATATGAAGAGGTCTGTAACAAAAAGGGTTTTGTCATACTTTTATTAACCTTCCCAGCTTTCTGTTGCAAGAAAATTCTGTTAAGAAAACCTAGATCAGTTCCCAGATCCAATTCTCATATGCTAGCACTGATACAGCTGAAGGGGCACACTGCAGGGGCATAATCAGACAGCAAATAGCTAAAAACTGGTTACCCCAGTATTGGCTCTGAAGATTTCATATCAAAGTACAGCCTATATTTAACTTCTAATTCTGGCTTTAATCGGAACCAGCCACCCCTCTTGTGTCTGCAAAATTACTCAGGAAACATCTAAGATTAAATTACTCCCACAGAATTCTCAAAAATCTCTTGTTCTCTTTAGAGCAGAAGATCTACAAGAACAGCTCTTTTGATATTTCTTTCTCTAGTAAAGTGCGGCAGTGAGAGGCTTCAGAAACGTATGAAAACAAGAAACATTGTTAAAGAAAAGCAACTTCACTTAAAAATGAAGTGCAGAGTTATAGCATTGTCACTCCTGCTCTGCCCTCCACTAATACTTGGGATTTTTCCTTCTATATGCACTTTTCTTTTTTGAATAGCCAATTTCTCAAATTCATCCAGGAATTGCTGCAACTCATCAACTCATAGGTAGGTAGGAAAAGGTATAATATGAAATACTTAAGCCAAATATTAATACAAAGATAATGTTTGAAGACTGGACTGAATACACAATTAGAAGCCATGTTATGATAGGACAATGTTTTGGTTCACGTGCTGTTGGCTCTTTAATTCAAGAAAAAGCTGAAGCCGGTACTAGCTATGATACGGTACAACCTTTCTCTTCCAAGAAAAGTCTATTTCAAAAATCAGTCTGGACTTGAGTTAGCATTTGCACCCAATTTAGGAATTTGTCATAGAACCAGAAAACATGTCAGAGAGCAGCATGTAACCTTGGAGGTGCTACACTCAGGCAATATTGATTACTATACAGACTGATTACCATAGATACCTCAACATTCATTTTAATGGAAAACATGGGAACCACAGTTCAGGGAACCATGTTTGAAAGGATAATGTTAGATAATTCTTCCTAGCTATAATCAGTGCACTGAATCTCAGCTTCCTTACCAGGTAGGCGATTCCTTTCTCTCTGCTGCACTGTCAATAGAAAACAATTCTCCTATATCTAAATTCCCAAATCTTGCAGCTTTAGAAGACCTCATCAGTTTATTCTTTCTTATATTACAAACTCAAAGGCAGAACTAATAAAAAGAAATCAAACAAGATGATGCTATCTGATCCCCACTGGACTTAGAAGTACTTCAGCTCACCCTCAGACCCACATCACATTACTGGACAAGGCTTCTCAAATAACAGACTCCTTCAGGGAGGACAGAATAAGTCTTCTGTTGCAAATTTACCTCCTGCTTATTTAATGCAGATCTCTAGGCCCAAATATGCCACTTTTTGGAGTGTGGGATTAGTTCTGAAATGCCACTCTAATATAGATAATTCTTTTTGCTTCCTTGAGGGTTTATCTGCCAGGCTAGACACTTTGTTAGCATTAAGCTGGTCTTCTGGCATTTGTGAGTGGAAGCTGGTGAAAATAGATGAGACTGGGTTGCAGAAGAACCCTAGGGGAGTAAAGTATTATTAGATGGCATGTGAAAACTCAATTAATTTTACACCCAGTCACTTTCAGCATATGAAAGGAATACCTAGAGCCAAACATATGAACACAAGTTCTCTGGAACCATCTAGCTTCTGTGTTAACTATGCTTCCTTTCCTTACACTATGAACCTACAATTCCTCTATGACCAAGAGAGGCTAGATACTATGTATCCAGAGATAATGACTAAAGTTAACATGCAAATAAAAGACTAATAATTCGGTTTAGGGGCTACTGTCATGGCTTAGATTTTATCACTATCAATGATGGAAATTCATACAAAATAGATACGTAAAAATCTAATAACAATCATATTGATCTCTGCCAAATAAGACCCATTTGCTTTATCCAGAAACAGTGATATTGCCCTTATTTGGGTACTGCAATATTCATATGTTGGTTTATTTTTAGGCTGATTTTATTGTGGTAAGGCCTTAGATGTTTTTTTCTCTCATAAAAATAACACAATTATTTTGCTATAACAATTCAACAGCACTGATACTAGCCTGGCACTCAGACTCTAGTCATCAAAATTAAACAAAATATTGCATACATTTTTTTCTCCTCTATTTATGCACAGATTCTTAAAGGCCAACAGTTATTTCCAAAAGCAAAACAGCAACATAATTAGCTCTAGAAGCTATCCATTTTCACTACTAGCAACTGTATTGAATATCACATTTACAGCATATTAGGGAGTTGGTGATAGAAATACACTTTCGGCAGAGTAAGAAAAATGCAGATAAGTGATATTATTTGTAAATCCTGGTAGGTAAGAATAAGGTGAAACATTTCAAGATATCTCAAGTGTTGTAAACATCCTAAAGTAGCTTCAAAAAATAGACTGATATTTTAGTTTTGTTTTTTTTTTAACTTGCATTTATGATTAAAATGTTGAATATGCAGTTCAACCACTAATATTTTCCAGTAATTAAAGACTTTTAGAAATAACTTTCCACAATTTAAGGTGTTTGTTATAAGCCTAGATCCAGGTTTAAAGTTGTATTTGAATTCAACTCTTGCCTTAACTCCTCTTCAAAAAAATAACCATTTGGTATTTAATTTCACCTTTCATGCACCTGAACCAACCAACAGAAGAACAGCTACTTGACATTGGGTTCATCTATCTGACAAAGCACTTCTAACCCCTTCCAAGAAAATATCAAGAGCCATCCAAACCTTTGCTTCTCAGTATCTTTCAGCCCAGATTTTGGTCAAGTTGTACACAAGGAGCTCTAAAGAAGACAGGACATTGCATCTATGGCACCACTGAATATCAGAACATTTGAGAAAGTTGACCTTGATCTTTTAAGGGCTGTCTTTATGAAGTCAGTAAATGAAAAAGCTTGCACTTCTTCCACAAGAACTGAAGTACTTGGGATCTATAAGTCATGACTAGAAGTATCATTTCAGTATAATCTTACAGCTAAAGACAAAGCATCATTAATATTCTGATATCATCATTGCTATTTCTAATTTTCAGTGAAACTTGCTTGGCAAAGATGTATCATTCTAAAGCTTTAAAATTATGTTTAATGTAACTACATTCTGAATGCACAGTACCATTTTTACCTGCAAGCTACATTCCTCAAGGCCCTGCACCAATCCCAGGCCTCTGTCACATCCTGGGTCCTTCTTGCAGCTGCCTTGAAATGACAGCAACAGCAGGAAGCGTGCCAGTCTATAGCAGAGGAGGTAGAACTAGATTATCCTTAAGATCCCTTCCAACCCAAGCCGTTCTATGGAAAGAGCAGAGAACACACACAGTTCCAGTCACTGCAATGTATGATTTAAAAAAAAAATTAGAAATAAAGCTCCTCCAAAACTCAAGACTATTCCTCCTCCTTCCCTTCTCTCCCCTCAACAGTTTTAAGGAAGAATTCTACTTTAGCTTAATAAACACTGTTTTTAAATCATTTAAACCCTCTCTAATAGCCTTAACCTCACCTATAATAATTTCAGCATTCAGATAATGAAGAAAGCCCTTGTATACCATAAAGCTAAACTGATTTGCTTTTGTAAGTGACACAGGCAGTACCGGATAAATATTTTATAAAAATATCTACAATTTTATGCAGTGTCTGTAGTACTATTGAAGGCAGAGCCATACGAAAAGCTGGATAACAGTCTGTTCCAGGCCCTGCTAGAATCCCATTCAGATTGTGTTTCCCCACTATGCCCTGCATTTTTATTTTGTTGTGTCCCTCTTTACAGCCAGAATTAGCTCTGCAGATTCAATAATGGAACAAAGCAATTGTTGATTTCATGTTTAAAAACATTCAAAGAAAGCAGTTTTAAGGAGGCATACAGGGAGCAAAATCATAGTTAATAAAAACGATTCTATTTTGAGCTGTTCAAAGGCTTCTGTAAAAGTGTCATTTAAAAAAAAAAAAAGCTTTCAAAAGACTTTTGTGGCACAACATTGCTGAAGTGATCAATTTTAAGCAGCTTCGCTTGTGAACTACAGATCAACTTCCTCCAAGAAAGGGATGCTTTTTAAAAGAAAAAAATTCTAAGTTACCTAAGAGGACTGGAACAAAGAGGTTACAGAAACTGTAACATTTCAGAGGAAACTAATAACATTAATTTCAATCTACTTAACGTGCAACAGCATTTTAATGGATAGTTTTACTATGACATTCGATGTTTTAGATCATACAGCCAAAAACACACTACTAAAATTGAAGTATTTTTCCTTTAATATTACTTTTTCCTACCCCTCTTAACAGAATTTTAACAAAAGCAACCTGAAAAAGGCTGATCTAATTGTTTCACCTATAAAAAAAAAATATGAAGTTCTGTTAGCTTCTTGTAATTACATTTTTATCTGCAACCCAAAAGGGACATAAGCCAGTAGAAGTAATATATTGCAGGAGATCACCTAAATATATGGAAGTATTCAGTTAAAGGCTTCTCTGTTGTTTCTGGCATGTATTGTACAAACTGTGTCTAAACCACCTTGTTTCACCACAGAAAAGTAAGCTATGGCATTTCTTTTCTTGGCAGGTAGAAGTAGAGCTAATACTGAGAATATATTTTTAGTATCAGATGAAGTGCAACAGATGCACTTTAACCAATGACACCCATATTCTGGGGAAGCCATCCAGCATGCCATCAGCTCTGCAAGTTGAAACAAGCTGCTTTTAGTCACCAATATTGTAACAGCAAAAGGTACAGTAATAATAGCAGTGAGAAAACTTAATATGCTATGCCATTTCTGGTCCAGTTCTTCTTGTATTATCATATACCCTGCACATGAATTATACACATCTTAGTGATGCCTTATTTAATGCATTTTTCTTCCATGTACTCAGACACTTTCCTCCTCCATCCAGTCCCCACCCTTTATTGAAAAAAAAAAAAAAAAAAACAATATTGTTTTCCTCCTAGAGAAGGGCACAGGCAAGCTAACATTCACACATGAACACCTTCTCTTCCCTGACCACCTTCCCCGACAACCTCGTGTCCCAGCACCTGGCTTTTTAGATTAACTGACTTCAAAATAAGCTCATCCATGGGGGAAAACTGCTTTCAGTTTTCCAGTGTAGTATCTTCTGGCAGAATATGTCCAACATTTGAATCCTTTGCAAAATTATTACTATTTTATTAATAAATATTGCATTATTACTAGTAATAATAGCAATAATAGTTTCATTCTAAATGGGTACAAGATTCAGGTAACAAAGCAATTTGCTAGTCTCAAGAACAGCTGCACTTCACATGGGATGTAACGTTACTTTATCTGTAACCCTTTTATAAAGGTGTGACAAATGCTACAAAAGAATAGGTTTAGTTGAATGCATAAATCCTGCCTTTTAATAAAGTCTGCCATAACTTTTAAATTACTTTTGAACAATAACTCTAATGGCAATCAACTTATCAGTAAGTAAATTATGATTTGGAAGTAGACAGTGTAATAAACACTACTGTAGCTTTGAAACATCTGTCACCTTAACTGAGATGTCTCTTGCTTTTTAAAGCCTCAGTTTAACATCTCATTCTGCAAAGAGCCAATGCTAGTTGCAAATTTTAAGAGGTTTATAAAATGTGACTTCAGTTTAAAAAAAAAAAAAGAGTAGCACAATTATTCTTGGTCTCTAAATACACAGTTATGGTAAAATGCTAAATTAAATTCACTGGTTTCCTCCTTATGATCTTCTTTTATGTACAGCATTTGTATTTTAAAGTGTCTCTGTTAATTTTGTTGAATAAAGTAGTGAGAGACTCAGATGCTAGTTACTGCTGTAAATGAGAACCAAACCTCTAACACTACAGCTCTGCTTGTACGGCAGTGTTGACAGGGCCAGCTGTTATCCCATTGACTATAGCAATACAGTTGCTGCTTCTTCAAATTAGAGGATGCTTTCACTGACAACGGATTCTTTTCTTTTGTATGCTAGCACTAGGAAACGTCCACAATAACTACAAATCTGACCTAGCAAAGGAATTGTTCAGTGTTGAAGTGATTTCTTCAGCGCTCTCTGTTGACAGCCCCACTGCCCAAGTCCATGCAATCATTACTTGTGCCATGAAGTACCAAAATATATTTTAAAATGTGCATTTTTAGATTTATAAATATGTTTCTTCATTTTAAAGTTCTCATTTCTTTTCAAAAGAATAGTAGATATGATACAACTCTCATGTAAGTATCACAAGTGTAAAAAAATTCCTTTACCTTCCTTCCTCCTCAATTTGGTGAGGAATCACAATACACATTTACAGACACCCTAAAGAGATAGTACAGTTCAGCAGAGCATCGTAAATAAGGATATATGTAGCTAGAGCATAAAAGGATACAGCAGGATGCTGCAAAATCTGCATGACTCCAGGTGTATGATTTCTACCAAGATTTAACTATTGAGATCAGGAAGGCTTTTGAACATGCTCATGTCTATGTAATTTCAGAGCTTCAGAGTTTACATTTAAACACAAGGGTGTTTGTTGTGGAACAAAAACATCTGCTTTTGTACATACAAACAGACTCCAAAGTAACTGCTCTATTTCTGTAGACTCAGCCAAACCTAGGTCCAATTCCAATCATTCTTACCCCTCTTGATGTAATCATCATGCTTGCAACAGAGTGGGAATTTCTGAGCACATTTATAAATATGTACTGTTTATTTTTACAAGATATATTACTAGGCTTGCAGACTGAGTGGCTTTTTATTGACATTTGTTATTTATTCATTTTTCCTTGATGATGCAAAGCATAATTCTACAATTCTGTATTTTATGGATTGTATATTCAGAGCAGTTTCTCTACTTAGAACTATTTGCCCAGGAATACTAGCAACATAAAAACCTGCCTGCTAAACATGACTGAAGGTAGCATTCTTGAAGTCTGATTCATTGCCAAAGAAATATGGGTTTTGAACTTAAATGCCAAAAAAGGACAGAATTGAGACCAAAGGCTGTTTATTGCAATGATGCCCTGATATCAAATCAGCTCAAGCACTACTGAATGTTATGCAGAATTATTCAACTACACGTTTAAAATACATTATAATATTTGAGGAGAAAAACTCTACAAGAAGCTTAAAAATAGAATTTGAAAAAGCAAAATGTATTGCAATAAACTTGGGAAGAAAGACAACTTCACCACAGCAAAGAAAAAACAATATACAAACTAAGAGACAGCAGAGATGAATTTGCCTTTGGTGCAGAGGGAAAGAATAATAAAATCAATTAGGAGTCTATATTACAAGGCATCTTGAAGTACCTGAGTTCTGCAAACAGCTCATAGGACTGTTTTTGCCTGCAATTAATTGCCGATACTAAAGAAAGTACTGCATACAATTTTAACTACTGCATCCTCTCACTTTCTACCCCTTTCCCAGAGTCATATTTCTATATGTTCTCAATGCAAAATCCCATCTACAAAACTACAGGGTGTATTAGGATGCCTTTAACTACAGCTCAGGACTGCAGCTAATCATTTTATTAGCAAGCTAGTAACAGAGTCACAAAGCTTCCAGGAGTTTTAAAAAAACCCAACATCATACACCTTTTATCCCACCAAACATATATTAAAGTAACAAAAACATTAAGCTCAATTGCACTGAAGAGAGAATTATATTAGTACCCAGTAAGATTATGCAATTAAAGAGCAAACTTATTTCCTCTTAATGCACCCAATCAGAGATTCTCTAGGCCTTTAAACGTATTTAAACATAACAAATGTTAAAGTATGGGAAATCAGAAAATGTAGTCCATCTTTCTATTCCATTGGCTTTACAATTGTGACGCCTCTTAGGGAGATTCTTGTCACATGCTGGCCAAGTGTTATGCCTGTGGATAAGCAAGGAGTTTCTGACATGGACAAAGAAGAACAAGAAGTCCTTAGAAGAGTTTTATCACTGGTCCCTATATGTAAAATGTTATTTACATCTAGCAATCAAGAGCTCACAAAATTCACATTCCCATTAGAGGAAATTAATAGTGTTCCAGCTTCCAGACTCTATAAAATAGAATGCCAGATTTTCCTAGCACTCCCAAAGCAACACAAATTTGAATATCAGTCCTTGAGTCACTCTTGAAGTGCCTGTATACTGCACTGTAAAATAAAGGCCTGCCCCAAGAAGTCTTGAATATGAACTACACTACAAGTTTAATAAGCACCAATATATTCAGAAAAAATTTTATCTTCACAGAAATCAGCATAATACAGGTGCTCAGGAAGAATCCAGGTGCACTGTCAACTTCGGGCCAAATACTCTTGCCAAAGTCGCATATCATGGCTAAGGGAGAATCAGAATGAGAACTCAGTGCCACTTCCTTTTTTTTGGTCAAAATCAGAAAAAAAAGATTGTAGCAGATTTCAAGGGCACCATCATTTCATCCAAGACTATCAACTCATCTTGGCTTATTTCCCTGGGAAAAGCACTTGTTGCTTTTATTTATTTTAATGTTATCATTCAGATTTCATTGGCCTGAATTCTCTATGTGCCTGATGTTTGAAATTGTTTGGACACTCTGAAAAGCTTACAGACCACTAGCCAGAAATACTAAGCACACACAGAACAGAGCTGTCATCTACTGGGCCATAACACACATCAAATACTTGGATTGTATATGCATAATTTAACTTCTCTTCTTTATCCAGAGTAAAATCCTCCCTTTATGCAGATTTAAGCAGTTAAACAGTTATCGTGGATTATTTTGTTCACCTTTTTCTGTTTCTCTAAAGAAACAGAAGCAGGACTCAATCATCTTCAGATTATCTGGGACCACAGGGGAGCCAGTCAGCTTTTGGTTTTGTTTTCTACCACTACAAGACTACATATTGCAACCTATTTCAGCAGATGAGAGCTTTTTTTCCCCATGCTGGTTTCATTCAAAGGCAATTTTTCCATATAGCCTTCATGAAGGTGGTAATGCACTGCCTTTCTTTTTCCCCTTAATAGGTCTCTGAAGAGTGAAGTTAATCCACAAAAAAGTTTAATTGTTTCCAAAGCAAGTGTAATCATAGAAATGCTCTGGTAAACATTTTATTCTTACCATTTCTGTAGAGTGCCAGTACATGCCATAAAGAGAATAATACATTTTGTTGGAATTAGTGAAGCAAGAATTCCTCTTATTTCAGAGAGGCTTGCATAATCAAATGACATATTGAAGTACCACATGAAAAGATACTGCATAATAGCAGTGTATTTAATGATGCTGTTGGACTTTCCTCCTTTCTTAAGTATCAAAAGACTTGAGCGCTTTTAAGGGCAATTGTAACTCATCATCATTTTGATCTTGAGCAAACACACATCTGAAATCCTCAGTAACTCACTTTTTCTGCCACTTTAGAAATCAAAACAAGGCAAATGGATTAAAACAATCTTTTGGGGAACAAACATTTTAAATTGCACTGCCAAAAACCACACTAGTTTTCAGATTATGTGATTTGCTACATATGAGAGCTACAATGTACCAAAATTGGGTTTATTAATAAGAAAATACATGGCCTAGTGTACTACTGTAAGGAAACAAACATCCAAAAGTATCATTGGTTTGTTAAGTTCAACAGTTTTTTTTTTTTTTTAACCATCTAGAGGTATATTTATTAGTCTTTTTTTTTTGTAAGTAAATTATCAGCACACATTTTATGGAAGAGAGATGAACTTTACAAATCCAAGAAGAACAAAGTCAGAGAATTCCACAGATCATTGTATTTTACGCAGCACCAAGCTTATAATTTGTGTTTTGCTAAAGCACAACCTGCTAGAAGGGGATGTACTCCTCACTGCACACATGAAGAAAGATGCAGGGCAGCTAGCAGCTAACCATTTTGTAGCTTCATCACTGAAGGCCTCAGCCCAGGATATCACTTTAAGAATATTTATTCTTAAAGTAAGTGGCAGAGCCAAAGACCTACCTGCCTGCTCTTTGTTGGATTTTTTTTATTTCACGTATTTTTTTAGCAGACTTGTTTCTTCACTGAGGGCTTGGCAAAGTAAAGTGAGCCCAAACCACCACTGGCATAGCCCTTCAGGAAGGAATGCATCCAACTCTCACCTTCAAGGGAACACTGAGGAATAGCAGAACGTAAGGAACACAAACAGCATTAGGGAAAAGAATGATGGTGACAGGAAGCCTAAAACTAATGACAGCAGGTCCCTAAGTTTATCTGACAGAAAGGGCGAGTGTTGGGGAAGGGTAGAAGAGCTGTGTGAATCCTTACATCCTCAGCTAAATACCTCAGTAACAGATGGCCGGGCATAGAGCAGTAGTTCACCAGGAAGAACTTCCTGTGAACTTGCCTTCTGCTCTTCAACTTCCTCCAATACCTTCCAGGAAAGCGTCCTACACAGAGAAAATACCAAAGTTTCTAGTTCAATTGATTTGGTCTTCCTGCAAGCAAACCACCTCCCTCTGCTCTCCAGACAGGCTGCTGTCCCATGTGAGGACAGCAGCCATTTTGTGGCCTTAGGAGTAACTCTACCTCCCACCACCCCATGAGGGCCCACCTGGAGGACTGCACACTGGCTGAGGCACCCAGCACAGAAGAGATGGGGAGCTATTGATGCAGGTCCAAAGGAGTCCACAGAGATGTAGAAGGGGCTGGAGCATCTCTCCTACAGAGTTAGGCTGAGGGAACTAGGCTTGTTCAGCTGGGGTAAGAGAAGGCTCTGAAGAGACCTCACTGTGGCCTTCAAGTTCTTAAGGGGCACCTACAAACAGGAAGGTGACCAACTTCTTTGCATGGACAGATACAGACAGGACAAGGGGGAATGGTTTTAAACTAAAAGAGAGATGATTTAAGTTAGATTTTAGGTGAAAACTTTTTACTAAGAAGGTGATGAGGCACTGAAACAGGCTGCCCAGAGGAGTTGTGGAAACTGGAGACATTCAAGGCTGTTTGGATAAGATTGAGCAGAGCCCAATCTGGTGGGTAGCAACCTTGGAACTAGATAATTTTTAAGGGCCCTTCCAACCCACCAAGCCATTCTGTGATTCACTCCTACAAGTACTCCCCCTAGGCTAATACTTTCCACCTAGACTGGAGTAAAAAGAAACAAAACAAAACAACCACACACTCACCAATTTCTATGGAAACATCCAAGCACAGGAAGACCATAACCATCTAACCCCACCTGGATACTGGCAACTGTGTCAGCAGGGCCAGAAACAGACTCTGTGCAAGCCCCAGAAGCTAGGCCACAGCTGTTCCTTTTACTCCTAATTACTCTTAATTACTGCCTCTCTCAAACACTCCTGCTGAGGGTAAAACTGAGGAGAGAAAGATGATTTTTCAGTGGGTTCAATACTAAAAAATGCTTTCTGTGGCTGTTGTTGGCAGGTGCTGTTTATAAAATATGACTTGCCTAAAGTCATAATCCTACCTTAAAGCACTTTGCTCTCCCTGACAAATTTATACTAAACTGCATTGTGGTTAATACAGCTCAGGTTCTCTGTATTGCTTTGCTTTCTTGTCTCAAGGGTTGGTTTATCCCTCATATTTGCCTTTTGTCATGCAGCCACATAGTGGAAGACATCAACACTTCTACAGTAATCACCCAAACCACACTATCAGCATTCTGTACATTTTTGCTGTTTAATAGACTTTGTTATTTTTGCTTGTTCTGGTTTACTGCTCCTAGACTCCATATTTTACAAGATGTGTATTAAGCTTCATTTTCATTTACTAGCCCAGATGGCTAAGAGATACTGCTATTGCACAGTTCCTCATTACTTAAGACTGATGGCTACTAAAATGTCAAATTGATTTTACTGCTTTAGCAAAACTACCTAGGTGGAATTTTCTGTATTTAAGTACAGTGTGCATTTTAGTGAGTTGCACAGGAGTATCCACTACCTGAAATAGCGAGGGGAGATGGGAGATATACAGAGCAAAGCCAATTTGTCTTGCCTACATATAAAGGTTTGCTTGGTACAAGCTCACAGGTACATACCACTCAATTACATATGATTCAGAGAAGCTGTTCAATAGAAGAAAGCATGTGCTAGAAAGTGCCGGCCATGCAAATAAGTACACATGCAAATAAGTAATAACACCAAAGCTAGGCATGTTAACTGACACAAGGCATCTAGATTGACAGCTTGAATAAGTTTCATATTCACACTGATACCCTGCTTTCACTCAAAGCTGTGCTTTCAAACTGCTCTTTAAAGCAAATTCTTATTTTTTTTATTGCTAGATTTAAGGCAGTCTCTACTGACAGTACTAAGAATTTGACAATTTCTGCTGGTAATGGTGATAAACTTTTACGTTGGTCCTGGTTGTGCAGTGATCCTGCAAAGAATTACAAAAGTGCCTAATCCAATACATAGTATATTAAAGAGCCCTCCTAACTTCAGTGGACCCCCACAATATATAAAGATAAGCAAATGTCAGAGTTGCATAAAATCCAGATATTACATGAGAATGGTACAGACAGGAAATAAGCTCCATGAAAACTCAAAATCACTACAGCAAGAGAAAAACATCCAAAATTTCTGGACAGTCTTTTGAACAATATCTACTGATCCTGGCTCTAAATGCCTGCACAAGAAGGAAGGTCCTCAAATTTAACATGCTTGAGGACTTAATTTAGTCTTTAAAGAGTGCAATGGGTGTCAGCTCCTGCAGTATTTCTGAAGTGAGAGCAAAAGAGACTCTTCTGTTTCTTTACCTCTTGACTTTGACACCAAGTCAGTGAATAAAAAGCTGAAGAGGCCAATGGGACTTCTCTATCTATTGGTAATTTCACAGAGCACAGAGGTGCTGACTTTCCCTAGCCACTGCTGTTCTATAGGGCAGCCTGAACTTTCACGTGGCAAAGGAGTTCTGTGTTGTTCTCCCATTTCCTTTTCTCATTTCTGTACATTTTGCCAGTCTCCACTGCATGTCTTTCAAATACTTTAGCAGTTTATGCTATCACAGTATTTTATTACTAATCAGTGTTGCGAAGGAATCAAATGATGGTAGTCATCATGTATCCAGACCTGGAAGAGAACATCCATCAGAACATCCATTGTCTGTACTTTCTTGCTCTCTTTTAATACTTGTGAAACTACAGGCCACTATTAGATTGACACTACTGTTTGTTTCAGAGTAAAAAGATCCCCAACAATTTCCTTAGGACTATTGCATGCTTCCACCTGTAAACATTATTCGTCCTCACCTTCTAAACATGAATGTCAGTGTCTTCAGGTAATGGGAACAAAATGTTGATATGACAAAGTCCATCTTAAAACTGAAGGTCCATCCCTCTCCTAAATTCCCAGTATCTTTTTCACCTCTGTAGTTATACAAAAATTGAAGTTGTCTAAGACAACTGTGCTGCTAAAATAAGAAGAGATAAAAAGTTGGTCTCTAGATCATCATGTTGTTATTCCTTAAGTCAGTTATGGATTTTGTCAGGCAAAATACACAGGAAAGAGTGTAATTGAGAACTGAAGTCTATTGGCAAACTGAAGGAGTGTTTCATTTGGTTCTCTGATTGAAAGAGCTTTCTATTCTTGTTCCCTTTATTCTCTGGACTGTCAGCCCTATCCAAAATGGGCTCTGGGACTTCAAGGGACTTACAACCCGATGTGGCAAGTTCCACATTCAATTAAAAAGATATATTGACATTTGCAATCTCTGTTACGTGTGAAAGCGTTGATTTAACAGTAAATAAGAAAATGTGTTTAGTATTGCAGGAGATTCTCTCTCAGCTGCTTGGGAAATTGAAGGACTGTGAAAAGCAAGGAAAGAAAGCAAGACAAACAAATGTTTCACAGTGCTCAAAGTCACAAGCAACTATGATGGCATGTTGAAAGTATTCCAGCTAGAAGCCCTTCCCCCACCTTATTCTCCCAGCTGCATTTTCTCTTCCAAATGAGTCATTTACTCTACAAGTTATCAGAAAAGCAAACAAACAAGGAAGTTTACACAAAATCAAGGGAATGGAATGATAGGACAATGACAGAAAACAACAAAAGCAAGGAAATACACAGATAAATGTCAAATGTACCCTCTGGACCTTTCCATTTGTTTTACAGCAGCTAATTTTAAAGACTCCTCCTTCCCCACTTTCAGGATGCTTCCTGCTGTGTCAAGGTTTGAAGTCATTTGATACTATTTACTCTTAGTATCTAGTGTGGATTTCACCACCACTAATGGATTCATATTTAGGAGTGGGTTCTCTTATAACAGTTCTCCCATCACAGAACTGTTAAAGACAGAACGGAATACATCCATGGCAGGGAATCAGGTATGTTGTCCTGCTGCAAAAATCTATTCTCATGTTTTTAAGACTTAATTTTACCACAGACTTCCTGCACAGAGCAGGATAATATACTTCATCCTTTTCTGCTTCAGCTCCCAATCTCCAAAACAGCAAGATAATATATTTGCTAGTTCTTTGTGAGCAACATTTTTCAGTATCACTGAGAATTAGCATGAAACAGAGGGTAAAATCTCCTTGGATTTCAGCAGGAGGTTGTTAATTGTATGCTTTCGTTTGTACGGTTTTCCCCAACTGCATTCTTAGATCATAAGCGCTTTGGGTCAGAGGCTGTATTTCAATGTTAACCACAATTCACACAGCAGAACTCTGATTTGGGGTGGGCACTCCAAATGCCAATGGAAAACTGTAATTGAGTGTGGAGTGTGAGCTACCACCTTCCAGGCAAGAATATGGGTTGCTTTTATGGGATGAATCTGGACCAAATTTGGATAAATTCAGCACTGGATTCTTCTACTTTGGAACAGGAACCAATATATTTCTAGTGCAAAATGCAGGCACTGACTATGCAGATTCATCTATTTTTGTAATGGTAGAGTGAAAGAGAAGAACAACTTTGTGTACAAAGACAATTAATGGTTTTGGAATGTTATTTTTAAATTGCTGTAAAATATATTAAAACAACACTTCTTTTATGATTTCTTTAAATAGCCCAATATTATTCTCCTCTTTAGAAGAAGGTCATGTAACTATATGCTGTCTCTTAAATTCAGTGAATGCAAAACAGCTTCTGGTGTTCTAACAGGAATCATTAAACAAATTCATAAATCAATGACGCACACCAACGCATTACTTTAATTATCATTTCTGTTCAGATGGGGAGATTATGTAATGCAATTGTTTACTATGTCTGAGTATTACACTAGAGAAGATTGGCTGGATCCTCAGTTCAAACTCTATTCTAATTTCTTCAGCATTTTTATGAAATTAACAATTCTGAAGAAATTCCATTGTAGTACCTCTCCTCCTTTTGGCATTTGCTCTGAGATAATTTCAAATATTTTTGTCACTCTGGGTGTTCTCTTGGAGAGGAATGCTATCCTTAGATTTGTCAGTTAAACCTACAGTTTTTAGAGATCACAGACTACTAGATATCATTAGGTAGACAGAATTTATGAGTTGTGCAGTTGACTTCAACAGTACTGTGCTTAAGATACTAGACATGACAAAACAAAAAATGGCAGATATGGTATCATGAAAAGCACTAATATTTTTCCTTGAAATACATGGAATAATGAGTTTGAAATGAAATATTATAATTAATTTTCTTGATAAAATATTTTTCATAGCAGAGTCGCACAGAATAGCTAAGCATTTAACAATCCTGATTTGTGCTTCTGGAAGAATCAAGGGCTTGTCCCAGAAATAATGAGATTAAAACCCCTTCAAGAACTAAAATTTAGATTCTTATTTATTTCTTGTGTTTGTAGCTTCTGAGGTTTGTGTTTTCACTGAGAAATGAAACTCCCATAATCTGATAACCTCAGGCACTGAGGTTTTCAGAATAAAATAAAACTAAGAATATCATAAAGTCCCTGTGATGGGATTTAGAAGAGCCCAATGGCCTGGATGAAGTTAACTCAAGCAGCAAATTAGGGCCCTGCTCAGGGTATTGAGCAGCAGGAAGCAAGGATATTCCTCAGCCAAATAGACTTTGAGAGATCTGAGTCAAAGACCAGGATTTCAAGGGAGCATAAAGGAGAATTCTGGGCTGGAACAGAGAGACTGAGAAAGGCTGTACACATAGAGTACAGAAAAAGAACTGCATTACAGTAACAGATCACCTGGCTGAGAACAAGCTTTACGTTTATCCCTGAAGACAGTATCAGCAGAAGTCTTTTGTATCCCTGTAGTCTCTCAAATTGGCTACAGTAGGACATCTGTGATTTACAGGCCTTCAAAATGGAATGAATTGGAAAGAATCTGTGACTTCTCTCGCCACATAGCTTATAACCTATATATTCCTCTCATGCCTGGACATGAGAGTGCATATTTCTATCCTGTGCACTTTTGAATAAATAGTAAAAGGTCTTTCATTTATCCATGTTGCATGCAAGATGTTTAAACAAGATATGCTATCTAAGTTTTTCATTACTGTTAAGATGAGCTACATGTGTATGTATATATGTATATCTATCTATCTACCTATCTATCTATATATATATCAGATGCTGGTCCCCTGAAGCGCATATCTCTCAGTATGCTGTACAATTCATTATGGTATCTGAAGCTAATAAGTAGGTAATAGGACCATCATATGAGCTTCACTTATTTACAACTGTTATTAAAGGCAAGACTGATAACAAGAGTATATTATACCATATTATTTTATAAATGAAAAAGGCTTTCATACAAGGTGACCAGAACAATAAGATATCATGTTTTATTCACCTCAGGGTTAGCTCTACTGAAGTCAGTGGAATTTCATCACAAACTAGATTATTGTGTTGAGATTTCATGGAGCATAGGGATTCAAGAATGAATAGCATAGCATTTAAATAGATTAAAAACAACAACAACAACATAACAGAGAATGTTTTAAGTAAGAGCCATAGAAAACAACTAGAATATTTTTAGTTAAAGTAATTTGCTAAGTTGCCACAAATACTGTACCCAGATATACTTTCCGAAACCTTCAAGTTAAATTACTTATGGGTGTATGTTCTTTGTATAAATGTGGCATTTGAAATAAATATTTAATTTTGTGAAAAAACACCATAAAACAATAACAACTCATCAGTGTTAATGTAAGGATAAGCAGAAAGGTAGCAGTTACAATCCAGTAATAAAGAATCACTTACCCCTTTCCAAGAATTAGGGTTTACCAACCACTCCAAAGCAGGCAACCACCAAGTAGAGATACTTCCCTTACAGCTCCCAGCCCTTAAACAAGCTTAGGGAGAGGTGGAGCCAGGACATACCCCTTCTGGTACTTCCACCTGTGCTCCCAGGGCTGACTATCACCAGGTGCTTAATTACTGAGTCAAGCTGTGGCCTAATAGTTCCCATACAGTTAGTAATGCATTTTTTCCAAGATCTTAAAAACGTCTTCTGTTACAGATATGTAATGTTTTCCTCTACTAGTACAATAGTGCTTCATAGTTTGAATTATACTACTGTGTAGGCATGAGATCTCAAAATAGTCTCTAAATGCTAGAGACTGTTTGTCTTAAAGTACAGCCATTAGCACAAGTTGGTATATAAGCTATCCCTCTTGAACCTCTGCAGGCCTTATGATTTAGCAGTCTGTTGAACTTGCCATTTTCTTCTCACTGCTGGAGTATCATTTTTTATGCTGTTCTGTATCAGAACAAAGTTCAGATGCCCAAACACATGCTAATAGGAAAAGAGGAAAAGTCTGCCATACCAATACTCATCTGCTCAAAATGTGAAATGACTGGTATGGTACAATTTCTTTGTCTACTTAAACTTGTGAAGCAGTGTAAACGGGTTCTTATCATTTTTACTCATTTGTGGGAATCTATAATCAAAATCACAATCAGTTCCCAACTGCTCCATACAATCACTACTTCAGAAATGTGCTAGCACTAATTGTATTTTGGAAGCATTATGAAAGGAATCTTTTCAGCATATATCAGGTTGTGTATATCGAGGTAGTTAAGACCAATATAAAATAACATATCACATATTCACTTCAGTGTGCAGTTTTGTGGTGGATATGCTTGTAATGTGATGTATATGTTGGAAGCTGGACTTGATGATCTCTAGAGATCCCTTCCAATCCCTACAATTCTTCAATCAGTTCTGTGATAGAGGGATTTCAAATTTCTTAGTCAAACATGAAATATGAAACATCTCTTGAGATGATGTTGCCAACTGAATAAGAACAAAAGCTATACAAATAGGAGAGAACATTGTCAGCATTGAATTTTCCAGTGACTTTTTTGTTTATAAAACATATACTGATATCAGATGTCAACAGAATCCATCCATAGCTCCACCTTAGAAAGATATTAAAAAAAAAAAGTTGAAAATTCATTGCAACTAGAATGAACAGACAGATTTAGTCATATAATTTTACTGCCTTCAGATTAAACATTTCAGTGTTTATCCATGATTTTATACCAGTGTCATTAGCATATGTGGGTTTGGTTCAAGAGAAGTTTGATCTTGTATCATAAATTTACCTACATGGCTTCATATGCAGCGGTTGCAATGAGTACTTTTCTAGTTTAATATGGCCATTGTACACTGCTCTTAGTCCAATACTTTATACTGATGAAGGCTGCTCCATGGGATCTGTGCTCTTAGATTGTGCAGTTCAGGCACACAGAATTTAGCCTGCTGATCTACCATGTCAGAACAGATTTTCCCTCTTCCTTTACCCTGTCAGACTGTAGTTCTTTGTTATCTGTTAAAGGCAGATTCTTTCCTCAACAGACTGGTCAGTGACATCGCTTTCCTCTGCAATGTTCCCACAGCTCCCTGTGGAGACTAACAGTGAACCAACGTGGGAAGAGTTAGCAGACATGATTCATATTAGTATTCATAATTATGGTCCCATCTAAGTCAATAACCATGTTCCTGGAGAAGAAAATGAGACTATGGTGAGTCTCTGGGGTGATCACTTGTGAAGAAAGATTGTGCCCCAGACTGGTGATATCTGTATGGCATGCATGCCCATGACACTGCTGAGAACCTACATCTGGGGAGTTTTCTTCACACTGTGTTCAAAATAGGCCCATGCCCTAAGGGCAAAGCCTGCTCTCCAGATGGAAAATAGTGAGGTAACAAAGCTCCAAGTACAGACCAAACAGCCAAATGTCTTCACCAAAGCTGCTCTGATTTATTTATTTTTACAAGGTTTTGATTCATTTTCTTTGAGTGAAATGACTGCTATTTCTGCCTTCACTCAGTTTGAACATGTTTTAATAGAGGATTAGTTTCCTCAGGCAGGTGCAAGGAAAGTGCTTACAGGATACGACAGTGAAAAGAACCGGCCGGTAGGGAAAAAAATCTCAACATGTTGTGGTATAATGAGCCCATTTAAACAGAAGTGAATGTTTGACATTTACATTTCTCTGTCTCCTGTATGAACGCAGAACAATTCAGAAGATATAAAAGTGGTGGAAAATATTTTGCATTAGAAAAATTTGCTTTAATTAAGCCTCCAACTTTGACAACTTGCCATAGGGAAAACTGGGTGTACTCCATCCCTAAGGGCAACCCTGTGCTCAGTTGTTCCATGGATCAGTTCTGGTGTCGCTCCAGAGACAGGACACTTGCTCCTTTCTCAGCCAGTGGTGACACAACCATAGTATTTTTTAACAATTAACAAAAAATTAGAAGGAAGAAAAAAAAAGAAAGTAAAATTAATGAAAATTAGAGACTGGGAATAGGAGAATTACAAGAGAGGGAAAATTAATAAAGCCTATGTTATTTACTCTAACTTTCTAAAGCCATGACTAATGCATAATTTAAATATGTTTAATTAATTAATCCAGTAAATGGGTACCTAGCAATTTCAAGGAGCTAGCAAATAAGCTAAAATAGATTACATTATCAGAATAGGCAGAGATCATGCCCATTAATATCAGAGCTAATTTGTGTGTTAAATATCACATCATTGTACCACTTCAAATTCCTCCTTAAAACCTCTTTGCTCTGATGAACCTGTGAATGATAAGGCTTATGCTTCACAAAGAATACTGCTTATTATATTGGTGAATTTTTTGTCATGTCTTCTGTTTTGCACTATTTGTATTATCTTGCACTTAGATCTAGTGCAGGAATTTTTCCAATCTGTTTAGAAAGAGTTTAGGATTGTGAGCTTCTAGTAAGAATGAAGGTTTGTAGACAACACGCTAGTACTGTTTTATAACAAGAATGGCACCATACTTTGGTTTATTCTCATAAGTTACAGTCATAATTAAAGATAAAATTTCCAATTATTTCTTTTCTAAAAAAGTAAAGCATAAGGCTGACCTTTCATCTCCAAATAAAGTGACAAAAGAACGTTTTACATCAAAAACCAATGGAATATAGGTAAACAGAGAAAACTTCACAAAGAAATCTGATCCAATATGCCTCTGTCCCAGAAAAATTGAGATAACTTCAAAAGTGGTTTTGATCCTTCTATAAAGTCTTAAGCCTTCTTAATATAGCCCGGAACCAACCTTGGCTTAAATTCAAAAAGCCAACGTGTATTTTTCAATTGCTGACATCTAAATACCTCATTAGTATGTTGAAATTGTCACTCAAATGGCTGTTTTATTTGCCTAAGTACTGATTTAATAGACCGAATGCAAGATTTGGCAGTACTGTTAAAGCACCCATGTTTGAAAATTGAGTGCTGACGTTGAATTATATGTGACTATTTTTTTTTGCCTCTGTTCATTGAAAACGAGGTTTCTATCTATCCATCATGGCAATTCCCACATCAAAACCTGAAGTACTCTGCACAATAAACCTATTAGATACTACACTGCATGCAGGTTATGAGTTTTTTTAAAACTCATTCTGTAGAAAAGCAACACATATTGTTTCAATTTTAACTGCTGCTTTATAATTAAGACTTCAGTTCTTGAGTGTAATAGCTGACGTGAGTTTGAAGAAAGAAATGCAAAGAAACAGCCCTGAGTTAGCAGAACTAGTGAGCTGGTCTCACCAGTTGGAAACTTGAAAGGTCCAGAAAGGATAAACAAAGGAGGATTTAAATGTACCTTGAATAGCACCCTTACTGATGACAAATGGATGATGAGCAATGAAAATATGTCAGCTGCTTTCTTCTGTTGAATTCACATTTTAATATACAAAACTATTAAAAAGATAGATTATTAGATCAAAATATCTCTTCAACATTGAACATGGAACTAACCAGTCTGAGATTTTGGCAAGGCTGGGTCATATAATGCAATATATGCTGCAAATTAAAAAAAAGAAAAGAAACAAAATGAAACAAAACATTTCCTTTATAATAAACTAATCTGATGTTAGTGGAGAAAGTTGTTTGAAAATACAGATTAAAGTGAATGTGGTAATGTCCCTTTAAAGTGAAACAACTCATTTGGTTAATAAATAGTTCATCTCTGTGTGGGTTTTATAGTAGTGCGGGACATGTTTGTTCAACAGAACTAGCCTTCTTCTCTATAGCTTTTCTATTTTTATTAACTAAGCACAGACAAAAGGTGCTATGTTTGAATAATAATAGTTTACAATCGTATCAGTGCTAAAATTCCTTTTTAGCTAATCTGCCCTGAGAACTGAAATGACACACTGGCAATTCTTGAAGAGCTGGTGTTTCATCCAGACAAGCTCTGGCATAATTCTGACAATGCTTCTGACCCTTAAAATGTCTGGCACTTCAGTTAAGAACAGTCAGTCAAACTGAACTTTGATAGATCTGTGGTGTAAGCAAATACCATAGAGAAGCTATGATGCTATCCTCACATTCATGTTACCTTGTTGCTCTGAGAGGCCTTGGATCAAGTCTGCACTTTTTTTTTTTTTTAAGAAAAACTGCAGTTTAAACTATGCATAGTATGAAAATCTCTTCAAAAAGTGAACATATTTGCCTGCAAGAGCCACCAAGATAGTTGGGTGTACAAACAGATATCTGTCTAAATGTGTGTGCAAAAGGAGAAGGAATGAAAAAAGATGTGTTCCTCAGTTAGACGTAAAAAAAAAAAAAAAGAGATAATGCCTATTATGTGCAAACTGTTTTACATTTTTACAGTTAGCAAATGTCAATAAATCCATGGCACATAAAAGGGCACTGCTACTTCGGCAGTTATTTGAATTCTATACTTTGTCAAATATATGTACCATTTAATTCAATAATCTTTACAAGCAATACTCATTGTGGTTTACAGTATGACACCTGACCTTT